TACTTAATATTAAATTGAGGAATTAATTTTAAACCAATTTGTATTTATATTATAAATTTATATCAAATATAAAACATATAATATAATACATATCTAATATGTTTTAAACTGGCTCTTAAATAACTAATTTTAATCTAATTAAAATTAGAAGTTATTAGTTATATAATTAATTTTAATCTCATTAAAATTATAAGTTATTAGTTATATAACTAATCTAGATCAATTCGAAACTCTAATCAAACTAGGATTTTAATTTTAAATAAATTTATATTTATATCGAATATAAAATATAAAAAAATTAATAACACATAACTGATATGTATTTTACTAGATCATAGAAAATTAAATTAATTTTAATCAAATTAAAATTATTAGTTACTCTCACGATTGATCCAATAGAATTTCATAAGTTTTTGGAACTATTAAAACAGGATTTTAATTGCAAATTAAATCGATACTCAAATCAAACAGATTGTGACTTAGCAAAACAATTTAACACAAACAGACATGTGCATAGCACATTGTTATATTATGTACATGACCAAACAAACTTATTTGTATATTATATCACGTGCATGTGAATGACTATATTTCATATGAATTTTGCACATCAACTTATTATAATCAAATTATAACATTGAATATTCGTAAATATAATTATTTAGCTTGCGTGAACATGTTACCATAAAATTTCACAAATTCAAACAGATCGAACTATTCACACAATCAATAGATATATCACATATATTTTAATCTAGACCAATTTCAATATTATACACGTAGTCTCTGATACCACTGTTGGAATTCATAGGCGATTTATAATTACTTATAAATATCAATTTAGAATTCAATTTCTAGAATTCGTGTAAATACTAAATTAGATCTAGGTTTTATAGTTTCGAATATACCTTTCTATTCGGCAGCGGAATAATGAACTAAAATAGATCAAGGTTATGCAGCACTTCAAACGTCGTGCTTCTATCGATATCCACACGCACACAAACTAGATCAAACGGGATGTTAGTGGCGTAGAGATCTAAATCTCTTGTTATCAAAAACAAATTGTTTTGTATTCTTGTATTGGTTTTTTTTTTTTCATTATTATATGGGAGCTTTCATATATATAGTGCAAGGATGCAAGAAAGTAATCATAATTACTCCTTTTTTTTATTGTTTTCTTTTAGCCAAACTTGCACTCATATATATATGGAAAATGTCGACATTGTCCATTCCATGATAATGTTTCTTTTTAATAAAAACTTGCACTCATATAAATGTTGACATTCTCCATTCCATAAGTGTTTTTTTTTAATAAAACTTGCACTCATATACATGTTGACATTCTCCATTCCATGAGTGGTGTTACAATCCAAAATATTATTGATCTAGTTTGCTTAGGTGTGTGATCCTATAGGATCGTATAATATTATTGATAGGCTTTCAGACCCATAAATTATAAGCGATTTCTAGGCTATTCAGTGACAAATGAAGGCAAATGTAGAACGTATTAAGAGCCACCAAGTGAAATAAAATAATGACATGTATTCACAAGCTAACACGTAAATCTCAAAGGAAGAAATCTCTAGAAACATAGTGTTCATCAAGGTTTGAAGCAAATAACTTTCTGAATTGAGAAAGAACAAACTTACAATTAGACTCTCCAACAGAAGCAGAACTCCATCTTCTCGTAAGACGGCTCGAAGATCTAGATCATCTATTTGAATATCTTCTCGTTTGTGGTTGACTGGGAAAAGCATCACAAGTATGTAATCAAAACTCTATGTAATTACAAGTATATCTTGAAATATATCACAAGCATCACAAGGTCTACATAAGATAAATCAAGTCTAATGATCCTGATCATTTACCAGTAGACTTTACGACTCAACTCTGCGTCATCCATCACAATTGTCACTCCATACCAGGTGAAAACCTGACAATAATCGAAATGCACGAGGCAATAAACTCAGAATTTCAGGGATGGTTGTTAACATTATAGCAATCATTACTAGAAGGAAAATAAAAAACCAGAGATATACTTTGGCATTTTCACATATTAGGGACTATGAATCTCTATACTAACAATTCTTAAACTCAACAGAATCTTCATTTACTACCTAAAAAGCTTAAGCCTGTCAAACCAACCCAAAACCCAAAGTTCGAAATCGACAGAAACTCAAGAACCCACTTGGCTACAAACAAAACACAATAGAAACAATTATTTGTTACCAACAAGCTCATACAATCTAATAGCCATAAGCACAATGTCCCTTTCTAAATAAGCCAATACTGAGGAAAAAGTTTCAGTCATGCAGAGTGAGCTTACTGATATTGAAACAATTTGATTCAGCTGCATAGATGGTCCACCATCGAGCTACTGTTCATTGGTTTCTTGAATCATATTGGGAAAGCTAGCTCTGTTTTCAACACTCCCTTTCCCTGCAGTGAGCCATCAACACACACAGTTACACGATTAGCAGAAGAAGGTGAAACAGATTCAGTAATTGAGATCAAATCAACAACGCAATTCCTAATTTCGTTTCTCAAAACATAAATCCGTAACCCTAACCAACCAATGTTGTTCGTTACAGCCACGAAATTGAGATAGATTCAGAATCGAAATCCCCCAATACGCTTCTCAGAACAGAAATCAGTAACCCTAACCTATATTCTTTTTCGTCACAACTCACAACGAAATTCAAAATACACGAAATTGAAACTTAATTCCGAAGCAGGGGTTGTGAAAACCTACGATATCATCACACAACTCGTTTCGAAATCTTAGGATCTCAAACCCAAACACAAGAAAAATGAAAGAAACGATGAAGAACAAAAATATTTTTTAAAAAGAGCAAAGAAACTCATCGATCATTACCGATTGATTACTCCGTCGGATCCCTTTTCGCTTCCATGCGAAATCACTAACCGAATC